TGATGTGTTTTGTCTTCTTTCATTTGATTATTTTTCAAAAGGGGATCATTTTTAATCTTGATGTCTATTCATACAACTCACTCATCGTACCCCACATGGTCTTAGTAATTTTTTTAAATTTTTTTATTCACATGCTAACTTTATTAATGTTTGAGATTTGGTGCAAATGGAATCAAACAAAGTAGTATTGGGTAACATGTAGTATTTGGTACAAATTTTGTTTTTTACTTCTTATTTTTTAATAAAAAAACTTAAAGCTATATTATTTTTATGGAGAAATAAAAAAATCTCTAATAAATTTATTTTTATTTTTTACAGAGTAGTTTATTCCATGGCCAACATCACCAATGAATCATCTTCCAAAGGAAAGGGAAAATTCAAACCACCACAGGCTAAAACTCATGAAAAGCCAAAACCAAGTGGTGAATACTATAAATGTGGCATAAAAGGACATTGGGCTAATGAATGTTGAACGCTAAAACATTTGGTGAAATTATACCAAGCTTCCACAAAAGGAAAAGGGAAAAATGTGGAAGCTAATTATGCTCGTGATATCAATCCAATTTTGCCTAAATTTGATGTGTCCGATTTCTATATGGATGATGTTGAAATTGGTGATGAAGTGGCCTTTGGGGGAACTAGTACTGTTTAGATATTTTAATTTGCTCTGTTATGGTGTGTTTATTTTAAAATAAATGTTTAAAATTTGTATTTTATTTTTCATGTGTACTTGTATTGTTATGTATGTTCTAAAGATTATAATAAAATGTATGATATTTATGTTAATTATCTTGAACTTATATTTATTTATATATTTATTGGTATTCAAGATATGGAGATAACTACTTATGGCTCCAGTGGCAAAGAACAATGTCTAATTGACAGTGCCACAACACACACCATTTTAAGAAACAAAGAATATTTTTCTCAAATGACACTGATGGAAACTAATGTCAATACAATCTCTGGTGTTGCAAAGCTTATTGAAGGGTCTGGAATGGCTTGTTTAATCTATCTCCAAGGGACAAAATTAATTATCAAAGATGCATTATATTCCAGCAAATCCCGAAGGAATTTATTAAGCTCTAAAGATATGCGTCAAAATGGTTATCACATTGAAACCATGACAGAAAATCAAAAGGAATGTCTAATGACAACAAAATCTGTCAATAAAATTCTTTGTGAAAAGATGCCAGTGTATTCATCGGGGCTATATTATACTCACATTTGTCCCGTTGAAGTGAATGTTGTCTCTAATAAAAAATTAGATGATTAGAAAACATTCATTTTGTGACAAGACCGTTTGGGTCATCCTGGCAGTGTAATGATGCACAAAATAATTCAAAACTCACTTGGACATCCATTGAAAAATATAAAGATTCCAAGATCAATTGATTTTCCATGTGTTGCCTACTCTCTTGGAAAGGTGATTGTCAGGCCATCTCTAAACAAAATTGGAGTTGAATCTCCTGCATTTTTAGAAAGAATTCAAGGAGATATTTGTGGGCCAATTGCCCCACCATGTGGATCATTTCGTTATTTTATGGTGTTGATCGACGCATCAACACGTTGGTCACATGTTAGTCTTTTATCTATGAGAAATTTTGCGTTTGCAAAACTCCTTGCTCAAATCATACGTTTGAGAGCTCAATTTCCGGATTATTCAATAAACAAAATTTGACTTGATAGTGCAGGAGAATTTACATCCCAATCATTTAATGACTATTGCATGTCTATTGGGATTGATGTGGATCATCTAGTTGCTGATGTGCACACTCAAAATGGTCTTGCTGAGTCTTTAATAAAGCAATTACAATTAATTGCTAGACCATTATTGATGAAATCCAGTTTACCTGCATCTATTTGGGGACTTGCTGTATTACATGCTGCAAATTTAATTCGGCTAAGACCTACTGCAAATCATATTTTTCCCCATTACAACCGGTAACTAGAAAAGAGCCAAATATTGCTCACATAAAAATATTTGGATGTGACTTATGTGTACCAATTGCTCCACCACATCGTCCAAAATGGGTCCTCAAAGAAGGCTAGGAATTTATGTTGGCTTTGATTCTCCCTCAATTATAAAATATCTTGAGCCCATTACTGGTGATTTATTCACAGCTCGGTTTGCTGACTGTCATTTCGATGAGACAGTATTCCGAGTCTTAGGGGAAGAAAATGAGAAAAAGGACCCATTACATGGAATGCAACAAGATTATCTTTTCTTGATTCAAGAACAAATGCATGCGAACAAGAAGTGCAAAAGATAATTCATTTACTAAATGTTGCAAATCAATTGCCTGACGCATTCACGGGTTCAAAGAAAGTGACAAAGTCACATATTCCAGCTATGAATGCTCCTGCCAGAATTGAAAAAACTCTTGCAAATGAGTTTTCAATACGCAAAAAGTGTGGCAGACCACTTGGTTCAAAAGATGGAAAACCAAGAAAACCCAAAAGGCAAGAGACAATGTTTGAAACAAAAGACGTTCATTCTTCAAGGAAAGAAAATGAACAAACCGAACATGTTGATATAAAAAATAATATCAACGAACAATTTGTTTCAAATGAGGATTTAACAATCTCTGAAGATGCGAATAATTCAGATGAAGATAGAAATGTTGATAATTATGAGATTTTAATAAATTTCGTTTCTACGTGATTGCAATGGAACAGAAAAGATGTTCATGTAGATGATATATTCGTATATGCCATTGCCACAAACATCATGGATGAAAATGATGACATTGAGCCAACTTCAGTTGATGAATGTCGACGTAGGCATGATTGGACAAAATGGAACGAAGCAATTCAGGCAGAATTGAAATCACTTGAAAAACAAAGTGTTTTTGGGCCTATAGTTCCTACGCCAAAAGGTGTGAAACCAGTTGGTTTCAAATGGTTTTTTGTGCGCAAGCGCAATGAGAAAAATGAAATTGTGAGATATAAAGCCCGACTCGTTGCCCAATGTTTTTCTCAAATCTCGGGGATAGATTATGAAGAAACTTATTCTCCAGTAGTTGATGCAACTACGTTGAGATTTTTGATATGCATATATGTCTTTGAGAAACTTCAAATGCGTTTAATGGATGTAGTGATAGCATATTTATATGGATCGATACTGACATATACATGAAAGTTTCTGGAGGGCTAAAATTGCCTGAGGTTTATAGTTCAAAACCTTGAGAGTTGTTTTCCATAAAATTAGAAAAGTCACTATATGGACTAAAACAATCTAGCAGAATGTGGTATAATCGTCTCAGTGAATATCTGCTCAGAGAAGGATACACAAATGATCCAATTAGTCCATGTGTTTTCATCCGTAGATCTAAATCAGGCTTTGTCATAATTGCAGTATATGTTGATGATTTAAACATCATTGGAACTTCTGATGAAATAGAAAACACTGCAAAATATCTCATGAAAGAATTTGAGATGAAAGATCTTGGGAGAACAAAATTTTGTCTTGGTCTTCAAATTGACCATTTGAAAAAGGGAATATTCATCCACCAGTCAAATTACACGAAGAAGGTTCTGAAGCGGTTTTATATGGATAAAGCACATCCTCTCACATCCCCAATGGTTGTCCGCTCCATACCTGAGTGCTATTGGAGCTTTGATGTATTTAGCAAACAACACTCGACCAGCTATTGCATTCTTACTGAACTTGTTAGCCAGACACAACTCGACCCCGACTAGGAGGCATTGGAATGGAATTAAACACATATTGCGATATCTCAATGGTACCATCGACCTTGGTTTATTCTACCGCAAAAGTGCCAAGTCCACTCTTGTTGGATACGCTGATGCAGGATATTTGTCTGATCTACAAAAGGCAAAATCTCAAACAGGATATGTGTTTACTTATGGAGATACTGCAATATCATGAAGATCGATGAAGCAAAGTTTGACTGCCACATCATCAAATCATGCAGAGTTGATAGCTCTCTACGAAACAGGTAGAGAATGTGTATGGTTGCGATCCATGATCCGACATATCCAGAGTGAGTGCGGTATAGAAACAATTACTAGTCATCCGACTCCTATATATGAACACAATACTGCATGCATTGCTCAAGTGAAAGGATATTACATCAAAGGAGACCGAACAAAGCATATATCACCAAAGTTCTTCTCAACACATGATCTCAAGAAAGATGGAAAGGTTGACATCAAGCAAATTAAGTCCAGTGAGAACCCTGCGGATTTATTTACAAAAGCGTTGCCCCCGAAGAAATTTGAAGAACTCGTACACAAGATTGGCATGCGTCGTCTCCGTCAATTATGCTAAGCTGAGGGGGAGAATTTTATTAACTGTACTCTTTTTCACTTGATCAGGTTTTTATCCTACTGAGTTTTTCCTGACAAGGTTTTTAAGAAGGCAGTACATAAAATTAGAATGAGTTTCTAAACTATACCCATTTCACAAAATACCCATCATCAATTGAAAAATGAACATTCAAGGGGGAGTGTTAAGAAAAATATGAATTGTTCATTTATCAATTAATTAGGTCATGCTCCATCATAGTTACAGAAACAAATTGTCTATCATCACCATCAAGTTGTCATTTGTATACTATGTATAGTATTTGTAATAGTGTTACCACTAAGCCTCTCTATTATAAATAAGAGGCTTAGGATCTGTTTACGAACAAGAAGAAGAGTAAAATATTAATAGAAAAAAAAATCAGAAATATACTACTATATCGGGCAAGGTTCAAATGACATTGAACCTTGATGTCATGGGATGACCCGGGGACGCTTCGATACCCCATTCGTAAAATTGACGATTCCTACGCCTCTAACCCCCGGTACACCCCACCCGGCCCCGACCCAAACACAACCCACCCCCTTGGTGATCTCTTTTTTTGTTTTGCGGTATGACTACTAATTTAGAAACAATTTTGGGATGGGGAGGGAGTTTTATTCAATCGGAACAGTTTGGAACGAAGGAAATACATACGCCTAGGTTCGCGTTCTCACTCTTTCTCTTAGATCACCATTGTCTCTTTCTCCCTGAGAAATTCGTTCTTTATTTCGAAAGGTTTGTTTGTTTTAGCTCCCTCTTTCTCTGTGTCAGTACTTGTACGCAGCTTGGAGTGTATGCTTTTGATATGTGTGTTGATGATGTCACTGTGCCTGAATTAATTGACTTGGATCTGGAATTTCATTGGTGTAGATCGGAAAATTGGAGCCGTTGAGTGCTTTTTAGGGTTTCTTAGCAATTGGAAGATATGTTTTTATTTACTGGTACGTTTTCTGGAAATTTAGCATTTCTTAGTGGGTGAGGAATTGTGGAATTGATGGGAATTTGGTGATAGGAGGCGTTGGAGAAAAAATAGGGGGAAATGCGATGGAATTTTTATTATGCATGGGAGGGAGCTGCGGGGAGGAGAACATTGTGAACAGAGTTGGTTCCGCCAGCTCATGCAGGCCACTATAACGAGGACTATAGCCGTGGGTGATTCCTCTCTTACTCTTCTGATACTCTGGATTCTTTTTGCAAGTTATGTCCTTTGTGGGGGTTTTCAGGTTTCTTGAATTCTCCCTTGTAATATTTCTTCCCCAGTCCGAAAAAAATGGGTTTCTCTCTCACATATTTTCCTTCCTTTTACACAGTTCCCTTTTTGCCTGTAGCTACTGAATGCTACTTGGTGTATTTAAGTTTCACTTCATGGGTTTTATTTAAGTGTTTTCTGAATCTGGGTAAGCAAAACTGGTGAGTCACAGCTATAGCTTTCAATTTCTTGAGCCTTTTGTCCTTACAAATGATATTGTGATTTATTTAGTGCTTCCACTCATTTTGTTGGTTTTTACTCAATGACTTGTAGTTGCTTCCACCACATGCTCTTTTTAACTGCACAATATCTACATGTGTTCTGTGTTCAGTTTTGTTAATTCATTGGTAATGGCCCATGCATTAAATTTCTTACTTGTACCTTATCTTTAATTTGCTTGGCCTAACTAGTGAGCTGCATGGAAATTAGTAAAAAGTTAAGTAGTATCTGTGCCCTACAACATGGATTATGTCTTTTACAGATAGTCTAAAAGTGTATGCTTTCATGAGTGACTACTTGTTACTTCTAGTTTATGTCACCTTTCGTCCTACACTGGAGTCTAACATGCTTTATAATTTGTTGGTCCTCATGCTATCTTTGAATTTATATTTGGCTAAATTATTGCTATTGCAGGATTCTTCTGGGTTGTTGTTGTTGTTATATTGGACAAATTAAATTTAGTATTTCCTTGCTATTTATTGGGAGAACAACTTCAGAAGCTCTCTCTGCCATTGCTTTTGGAGGGAATGTACAAGAATGGGAAACTCATCTGTTAAACCTGTCTCAATTAGCCAACATCTTTTTCCATTAACCCCTGCGCTTCTTGTGAAGATGATGCTCTATGGTGATGCCATTGATATTCAGTTAATTTTTTTTAAAAACATTGATATGCACACATGTGCATAAATTAATTGTGCATCTGATGCTTTTCTAAACATTTATTTACCTTGCTCTCCCCTACAGGATGGTAGCAAAAGTAATATTGGTGATTCTGCTTTTTTCAAACTGCCAACTGATTCTCCCCCATTCATTAGAATAATTCATCGGTTGACATCAAGAAGTGATAATATCTTGAAGTTGGGTGTCAATTGGCTTTATCGACTAGCTGAATTAAATCTTGGCAAAGGAATACCACTTGAAGCTACCCTTAACAAATTATTTACTCTTTTCGTAGTGATGAGATTGCTGCTGAATCTTTACTCAATCTGTGTGAAGTTGCCGTCCTTCCTAAAGTCGTTGAATATCCAACTAGGATATCTTCATTTGATTGCTGTCGGGTTTATGACATCAACAACGAGTGTTTATGGTGGCTAAGAGATCAAGATTAAATTAGTGTTAGTTACATTTGCTTTTAAATGCTTTTATCTTGCTTGAGCTTGTAAGCAGAAGACATGCAATGAGATCTGGGAAAAAGGTAACCAACTCCTTGAAGCTAGGGGTGGAAAGTAAAAGGATTATAGGATAGAAAGTACTTGTATTTCTGCTGCTTATTGATAAGGGAGAACACATGTATGCAATGGGTAGATATAAAGTGATGAAATTTCAAGTGCTAACCACTTTGTTCTGCACTAATTTATTTCTCTTTTTACGTTGCTCTTCTTTATATGCTTAGTCATGTTGTTGCAGGAGCAACAATCATTAGATTGACTGTTGCATAAGATTTGACTTGAGATGCAAGAATCGTTGCAGCCCGTTGGCCGTTCTCCAAAACCAAACAATATCTCAATGTCGGCATCACTTTTGAAGCATGGTTCAGATAATATTCAAAGTAATGTGACATCGATTTCTTCTCAAGTTAAGGGAAAGAGAAGGGAGAGGGGAGATCAAAGTTCTGCCCCGGTTATGCAAGAACACTCTTTAAAAATAGATGATAGTGATTCTGGTATGTGCGAAACAAGAAGTTCATTAAAGTACGAAATTTCAAAAATAACGGAGAGAGGGGGGCTTGTAGATTTTGAGGGAGTTGATAAACTCATTCAACTTATGCAACCAGATAGGCTGAGGAAAATGGATTTGATAAGTCGCTCCATGTTTGCTGGCGTGGTAGCTGTGACAGATAGGTTTGACTGTCTTAACCGATTTGTGCGGCTAAGAGGCTTACCTGTATTGGATGAGTGGCTTCAAGATGTTCATAGGGGGAGAGTTGGAGATGGTAATCAGAAGGATGATGGTAAATATGTGGAGGAATTCCTTCTGGTTTTGCTTCATGCACTTGATAAGCTTCCTGTGAATCTTCAAGCACTGCAAATGTGCAACATTGGAAAATCTGTTAACCATTTGCGCTCACATAAAAATATAGACATTCAAAAAAAAGCACGGAGTTTAGTTGACACTTGGAAGAAACGTGTTGAGGCTGAAATGAATATGATTGATTCCAAGTCTGGGTCTGCCCAAGCTATTGTATGGCCTTCTAAATCTCGCCTTACCGAGGCTCCACATAGTGCGAACAAAACTTCAGGTGGGTCAAATGATGTCACTCTAAAGACCTCAGTTGCCATACTTTCTGCATCTAAAGCCGTTTCATTAAAGCATTCACAAAGGGAACCTATTATGAAATCTGCATCTCCAAGACCACTAAGCTCTTCGTCATCTCCTGTACCAGGGAAAGATAGTCAGACCAGAGTTTCAATTTCTGGCACGCCTGATTTTTCTCTAGTTAAGGAGGATACGAATAGTGGTCCTAATCAGTTTAATAAACATGGTCAATTTCTCTCAGGAAAAGAGGATGCAAGGAATTATATTGCGGCATCAATAAGTAATGCTAAGATCTCAGATAGCAGCACTCACCACCAGAAGGGAATTACTGGCATCTCAGGGACATCTGTATCTGAATCTGCTGGCCAGAAAGAAATTTCTATGGGTAGAGGATCTTCACTTCAAAAGGATTATGTCACTGAAAAGTTTTCTCAGTCTGCAGTGTTGGGTGAAAGAGCAGTCGATGTGCCAGTTGCAGAGGTAAGTAGTGACAGGTTGGGTGTTAAGAGGCTAACTAGGGGTTGCAGTCCTACAAACACGGTGAGTATAGGATCTTATGAGGACCCTAGCATTATGAACAGCCAAGCTTCTGCCCCTCTTATTTCAGAGAAATATGATCAATATGCAAAGGGACAGAATGATGCATATGAACTTAATGCTGCTTCTGATGTGAATGAGGAATCCTGGCATAGTAACGATTTGAAAGATATATTGACTGGATCTGATGAGGGTGAAGAGTCACCCGCTGTGCTCCCAGATGAAGGAGACAGTAAAATGGCCGATGATGGGAAAACAATGGAAGTCTTAAAGGTTGCTTCTTCATCATCTGAAACTTGTTTGAAGGCTGGCAAACTACATGAAGTTTCTTTCAGCTCCATGAATGCTTTGGTTGAAAGTTGCGCAAAGCATTCTGAAGCAAATGCATCAATATTAATAGGTGATGTTGTTGGCATGAATCTTCTTGCGAGCGTGGCTACTGAAGAAATGTCTAAAACTGACAGGCATTCCCCCTCTCTTATGAACTCTTCTGTTCCCAACAAAACATGCACGTCTGATGATTCCAGATGTAAATCACCACACTTTGAAAACATTAGGAGTGCATGCATTCAGAGAAAAGACAATCTTGATGACATTAATGAGGAGGTTGTTGATGTTGGTAGTTCATGGTCAGTGGAAAATTTTCATGCAATTAAAAGTGTTGTTTCTGAGGCATCTGCAGATATAAAATCTGGTACGTCTCCTGAAGCTAATGCAACTAGAGATGAGCATGTTGGTTCTTTGTGGAATGATTCAAAAGTAGCTGGGAAGACAAATATTGATGGACATAAAAAACTTCGGGAAAGAAAGGCAATTTGTAGTGGTGGCTTACTAATGAACAATAATCATTCTGCTAATCTGCATGATAATGAGACATCGATGTTGGATGGAAATCTTTGTAAGGCATTCTCATCCGCTGATGGAAAGATATTGGGTCGAGCATTGTCTTCAGATTTTTCTCTTGATGGTGACAGGAAAAAAATGGTTACTACTGGTGTGGAGCCAAATCCATGTGTAGCAGCTTCGAGTTGTGATGTGAGGGAAAAACTTGAAATGGAAGTTCTACCTCCTTCCTTTAATAGAGAGCTGATTGCTGATAAAGTTTTGCGGGGTGAAGATACACAGAATGTTGTTAATCAGTTTGAAAGGCAAGTATCTGATACAGGTGATGTTACTATAGTTCCAAATGTTAAAGCTTACGTTAATACTTACTCCACTTTATGTACTAATAAGGGTTGTGAGGAGGTCAATGTTGAAGTCCGTGACATTTTGTTGCACAATTGTGGTGGATCATTATCTGAAAAGGAGATAAGTGGAATTTCTGGACTGGAACTGGAGAAGCACGTGGATCGAAATGAAACCAAATTCTGTTGTATTTTGCCTGACAAAACAAGTGATCCTGTATCCACCACCACTGTGCAGAATTGCGGTGTTGCTTCTTTGTCACCAGAATCTTCTAAAATGAAATTTGATTTAAATGAAGGTTTTGTTACAGATGATGGGAAATATAGTGAGGTGGCCACCGCGATAGCTCACGGGTGTTCATCCGTTCCACTGCCTTCTCCAGTTACTTCCCTGCGCACTAGTGTTCCTGCCTCCATAACTGTTGCTTCTGCTGCCAAAGGTCCTTTTGTTCCACCAGAGGAGTTATTGAGATTCAAAGGGGTAGTTGGATGGAAAGGCTCTGCTGCCACAAGTGCATTTCGTCCTGCTGAACCCCGGAAAGTGTTCTTTATGCCTTTGAGCTCTGTAGTTGTCTCTCAATCTGAAGCTTCCAGTTGTAAGCATGCCCGTCCGCTTTTCAATTTTGATTTGAATGTACCAGATGAAAGAGTCATTGAGGAGATTCGAGATTCTTCTGCTGCTGTTATAGGTTCCAACCAATATGACCTCAGAAATGAGGCCTCAGATTCTCCATCTGTTCGTAGCTCTGCAGGACTTGATCTTGATTTGAATAAGGTGGATGAATCAAATGATGTGGGGCAGTGTTCAGTAAGCAGTGTTCATGGGTTTGATAGACAAGCTGCACACAGTAAGCCACCAGAATGTGGAGCTTCCAGGAGCGAGCTTAAGAGGGACTTTGATTTGAACAATGGGCCCGTTACAGATGATGTCATTGTGGAACATTCTTTATTCTTGCAGAACATTCGAGGAAGCGTCAATTTTCAACAAGCGTCTTCTAGGCTCAGAATGAACAATCAAGAAATAGGGAGGTTTTCTTCTTGGGTTCCTGAAGGGAGTCCTTATTCGCAGATTACATCACTTATGCCTGACCGCGGAGAGCTATCATTCCCGATCCTTTCACCTGGTGCACATCGTATCCTAGATCATGCTCCTGTTGGTACTCCTTTTGCTCCTGGTGTTTATCGCGGCACAGTCTTGCCATCTTCTCCTGCAGTCCATTTCCAGTCTGCTTCTTTTCCTTGTTCTGTGTTTCCATATGGCACTACGATTCCTTTACAACCAGGCTCTTACTCTCTTGGGCCTAGTTCATGTATTGAATCCACGTCTGCTGGAAGGCCTTATGCACCACTTGTAGATTCACATTCGTTTGGGTGTGCTAGTACTGTTCCTCCACAATTTCTCAGGCCTTATATTGTTGGCCTTCCAGATAGTATTAATAATGGGAGTACAGTAAACGACAGGAAATGGTCCATGCAGGGCTTGGATCTTAATGCAGGGCCTAGAGCTGTGGACATTGAAGAGCAAGTAGAATCAATCCCATACAGGCAACTTTCAATTGTTGGCTCACAAGCACTTTCCGAGGAAAATTCAAGGTTATACCCAATTCCGGGAGGTTTTCTAAAGAGGAAGGAGCCAGAAGGAGGGTTGGATAAGGATCCCTTCGGGTATAAGCCATGGCATTAGAATGCACAAAGGCTGCTATATTGCTGATACTGGACTTTGGTAGGTTTTATTATACTCCCTCCGTCCCACAATTATCTTCCCGTTGCGCGTTACAATGTTTGACTAAATTTATTTTCAAATCATTTTATATAAAAAACCGCGAGGAATAAAAAAAATTACATATTTAAAAACTACATCAAAAGTTCTACAAAAGTAGAGGTGACATGACTATATTATTTTCTCAAATGGGCAACGAAAATAGGCCAACAAAGTGAATTAAGTTTGACTATGTGAAGAGTGAACGGAAAGATAATTTTTGGAGGAAGGGATTATTTCCTTGTACATTGTCTTTTTGTGTTACTTGTTTACAAGTTTCGGTAGCTTGCGATGAATGTCTAATGCAAATTTTAGCAATTTGTTGCTAATATCTTTCAACTGATGAGGCAAACGCATAATAATAATGATTGTGATACCCTACATGTAGTTCCTGATGTTTTGTATCCTGCCATTTTCATTTGTCCTAATCTCAGACGAGACTCTTATATGCATAAGTATGAAAGCATGAATGGATGTGTTTTTCGGAAAATATAATACTACGTATTTGAGTTTTGTTTATTATATTTCGCAAGTTTAGATTGTTTTTGTGATTTTAAAAAAGTTACCTTTGCTGATGTTTGCTTTCTCCAGGTCTTAAATTTTACATATTGTTCACAGAGCTCCTTTATACTTGAAACAAATGTCAAAAAATGACTCCCAGGTGAGTCGGGGACCAATGTTTTGTGATAAAACAGCTTTGTCCACATATTTTATTAATCACTCTTAGGGGGTTTAAATTTAATTGTAATAACTTTGTGAGGATATTACAGTGTCGGAGTTGAAATATTAATGAAATGCCTATAGCTTCTTCTCTCAGAAGATGGTGGCTTTGAGGAACCAATCTCAGGCCACTGATAACACGGTTCTCCAGAGAGCTTGGATGTGGTTGAGCTTCGAGCTAGATCGGATTCAGTCAACCCCAGCTGGATCCAGTAGCCAATCGCCAGAAGGGTCTTTCGCCTTCTTCGTACGGTCTACGGAGGAGATGATTTACAGTGAGAGTAGCCATTCCAAAAACATGAGGGCACATTGGGCATTTTAATATTATTTTCAAACCTGGCACCGTAATGTCCCCATGGAGTAATTACAATGAAATATAAACCCTGTGAGAGTGATTGAAAAACATGAAGACCTTGCAGCTCTTATCAGTTATCACAATGCATTGGTCATCTGAGAGTCATTTTTTTAACAAATGATATGTGCACTGTATAGCACTTCCATGTGGTGGAGTGGTTAATGGATTTCTTTTGCATTGTTGAGCATTTTTTTTGGGTACAATGTAAGTACTGTCCTTTTCACTGGCTAAGCTTACTTCCTCTTATGGGTTCCTCAAGGTTGAACGTCAGCTAGCTCCTGAAAGCTGTATCCTGCAGTTTTTGTCCGATGGTGGGTGGGAAGCTGGCACATTTTTTTGCGATTCCCACCTGCTTTGTGCCGACTGTGGAGTTAAATTATGATTTTCAACCACTTCGGTTTCGGGCGGGTGCAGATCGGTTTCCTTTCTGTATATATTTAACTGTCCGGAAGCTTGGAATCTTTGATGCCCCCCGTGACGAGGTAATGGACTACTATCACAATTCACAGCACCAATATTTTGACTGTCAAAATGGAAAGGAATTCTGTTTCAGTTGAAGTCAAGTGGAAGCTGTTGTATCATTGTATGTACACTTTGGTAAGTCTGTCTTCAGTTGATTATTGGCTTTTATTGTGTTTTTTTTGCCGCCCTCTGCATGTATGTCTGTATGTGTATTGGGGGGGGTAGGAGAGAGCACAGTTTTGTTTCAAGTCTTTTGTCTGGCATGTTTAGTTTGGTTTTGTTGCAGTTGTAGCTTAAACCTCCTCGAACTCTGGCGGCATTCCTGGCGAAGATAAAAATTCGTCAGACTATTCATTATCATCATCATCGCCATGTATAAATTTCTGCACTGTGCTAAAGATGTAGTCTCTTAGCTCTAGTTTGCCACTCGTATATGAGGATTTTTTTAATAATCTTCATGTTTTCATGAATGCTTCTTGGAGTGATTGTTGTTTCTTGTCCATGTTTTTGTTGTTGTTATTAGGTTAATGGGGGGGGGGGGGGCTTTATATAGGCTGAAATTGCAGAATTTTGAGTACATAATAATAAATAGCTCTGCTATCTCGTTTTGGGCAAGCATTTAGTGTTGAAATATGATGATAACTGCACTACCGGGTGCTCATTTTATGGTATTTAATGCAAAAAATGACCATTAGGTGACACAAGTTTTGTTAAAACAATTCTCAGGTTCCTCTATTTTAAAGAAGACATGAGCTATGCTTGAAAAAAAGTTTTTTGGATAGCTTTTGGTATCTTTGACTGATTTTATTTTTTGACAAGTCTAACATCCAAAACTATTGTTTGGCTAATAGCTTTTTCACTTGGCTCTTTGATCCAAAAGTCAAAACTTGGCTGTTAGAAAAATTAATTTTTTAAATCATTTTTCTTGATTGATATTCCATAATATATGTAAAAGTTCAAAAATTTAGAAAAAATTAAAATTTCAAAAAGACAAAATGAAATGAGAAAATCAAAAGTAAAAATCTTAAAAAATTGTGTATTATTAATTTCTAATGAATTATATGAAAGTAAAATTTAACACTCCATATATTAAAGATTTAATTTTTAAAATATACAAAAATGGAAAACAAATATCCTGTGTGTGTTTGTGTCTATATATATATATATATATATATATATATATATATATATATATATATATATATATATATATATATATATATATATATATATATATATATATATATATATATATATATATATATATATATATATATATATATATGTTATTAAAAGGGACTTTTATTGATGAAAAAAGTAAAAGGAGCAGGATACAAGGGGCTACCCAAAAGTGGTAGTAAAAAACAAAAGGGAGAAAAAAGGGATGTAACGGACGCAGCCCTTGCAAAGAAATGAGCAAAAGGATAAAAATAAGGTAATAATGGGGATGGATGCTGAACTTATCAGGCTCGACCACTGCCTCTCCTACCACGTCCCCGATGACTACCAGTTTGAATGGTTAATCCGGGAGCATCAAAGTTATTGTTGTTTTTTCTTTTAACAAGTGTGAAATCTCCCTCGTATTGATATTCTTCAAAATCGAATCTAGGAGTCGCTGACATTTCTTGTTCCACACTAACAGTTGATAGATCCATTGAGTCTTTGATAGGAGTCATTGGTCTCTCCACCGAGTTACTCGGTTGTGCAATCTCAACAGTGGTTTCATTTAGGGAGTTTGGTTTATGAACATTGTTTGGCCCGTCATTGTCTTCTGGGTGAGGGTCATCCGAACGTGCATTAGGAGGCTCAATAACCTCCGCTAAAGCACTACTGATTGTTGGTTCACCAGCATCCTCAGTATGGGCAATTTCACATGTTTCTGCCAGAACAATTGTGATGAACAGGTGGCCATCCACTTCTACAATGATATCCTTGAATTTTTCCTTTGGGGGTGCAGGACTAGCAGATTTGTGCATCTCATTTTGGACCTCAGTTTGAACAATACATTGAGCATTTGGAGTTTGAGTTGTGGTACAGTCATTGTTGTCCGGATTGGAAGTGACAAAATGGGAGGCTTCCCCGGGGTAGTCAGCATCAAGACCATTGTTGGGGACATCCTCTATCACTAGCACTTCCTTTGAATCTACAATTGAAATTGTGATCATAGTGCTACTGCCTAGGTCTCATCACAGGGGTCAGGAGAACCATTAGCAATTGCCACCTCAGGCTGTGTAGGGACATGACTCCCTGGACATATGTTTTCCAGCTCAATGTTTGCAGAAACTCTCTCCTTTGCAGTGGTGTTTGTTGCATTATTTGTGTGGGGTTTTTGAGCAGCACCACTTAGTGAATTGTACAACTCTTCAGAAGCTTTGCAGACAGGTTCAGAAGACAGGTTGTTCTTGGGTCCCAAATCACATGGAGGTTTCCTGAGAATAGGTTCCTTGCTCAAGAGAGGTTGCCCCTGTATCTCTTTGTTCTTGTATTTTTATATGTTCCTGATGAAAGAGCATCTTGTTGTTTACTCTCCTTCTCATTACATTTTCCGGTGAGGTGGCCTGACTTCCTACAGAAACAGCAGTAATCTGGGATGTTTTCGTAAGAAATATCTTGGAAGAAGCCCATCCCACCACTATCAATCCAAATTTTCTTAGGAAGCTCTTTGGATATATCTAGCTCAACACAGAACCTGGCTACTGAGGGCTTTGTTTTTGCAGATGTGGAAGTATCCATCATCAACGGATTGCCAATTGACCTTGCTATACAGTGAAGGGCCTTGGCCTCTTGAAGATGGATTGGCAAGTGAGTTAGGGATACCCAAACTGGAAAGATGGGATTTTCGTGGTCAGGATGGAAGTTAGGACTCCATTTTGACACAACCATCTTAGCTCCATTAATTTTCCAAATGCGTCTCTTAAAGCATCGTTGGTACTTCGATGGGCACCGGAAATTGAGAAGAATAAGGGAGGGTGCTAAGAGACCAACAGAGAACCCTGGTTTGAATCCAATTTTTTCGAAGCATTTTGTGATTACCTCCAAAGGAGGTCTGGATTTGGTGAATCTGCCAATTAACGCGAATTGATATGGGACAGAGAGGGAGATTACCTCTTCAGCGGAGAAGGACACAGCCGAGAAGCCTTTGTAACGTCCGATTTGCTTCTGTTCCTAATGGATTTGGGATGAACCCAGAACATTGGCGAAGCTTTTCTTGATGTTCGTTCGTAGGTGCTGATTTGGTTCTTGAATCTCGCACAATCGTGGAAGTCATAGCTCAGGAGAAAGTGATCGACAATGAGTACCGCTAGCAGAGCCATCGTAGCGCTGAACAAAGAGAAAAGGGGAATCTAGTGAGAGAAAAAGCCATTATATATACTCCCTCCGTCTTTTTGAAGAGATTTAAGAGAGTGTATTTTGGTATTGAATTTCCAAAAATGTACTTTGATGTGATGGGTAAAAGTAGGATTTGATGGGTAGATTATTAGTAAAAAGGTATGATGTGATAGGTAGGGTATGAAAAAGTAAGGGGTAAAAGTGACTTTTTAATAGAAATGAGAAGTGTTTTATGGGACGGATGAAAAAAGAAAGGAGAAAGGTTTACTGACCTAGCTTACCACAAGCCACTGCTTCCCAAAGGAAGAAATGGGGGCAAGAGCTCTACGTCGGGACGGTGGCCCTAAATCCCCGGTCAAAACAGGCAAGACGGGAGCCGATAACCTTTACTGACCAGGACCTCCCAGCCACCGGAGAAGATCACAATGACCCCCTGGTCATAACTATGGATATGGGTGGAGTCGATGTCTCCCGGGTACTCGTTGACACGGGCAGTAGTGTCAACGTTTTGTACTTGGATGCATTTGAAAAGCTCAAGTTGTGTCGGACACGGCTTGAGCCCTTAAAGACTCCCCTGTCCGGGTTCACCGGGGACTCTGTTGAAGCTGAAGGGTCAATCCTTCTGACTTGTGAATTGGGCACAGGAGACCAGGTCGTCCAAAAACAAATGAGGTTTGTGGTAGTGAACATCAAATGTGTTCACAACGCCATCCTAGGCCGGTCTGGAATAAACAAGGTCCGTGGAGTCATCTCCATGGCCCATCTCTGTATGAAGTTCTATACCCCGGGCGGTATAGGACAAGTCAGAGGAGATCAAAAGAAGGCCCGGCATTGCTATTTGGAAGCTATAAAGAAAATGACGAAGGCTTTTGAGAGAGTCACTTTGGTCTCTCAGGAGGAAGACCGGTCAAAGCTAGAGCCGGGTGATGAAACCGAGCAGATCGTTCTCCGGGAAGCCTTCCCGGAAAGAATGGTGCGAATAGGCAGGGATCTGCCCGGGGGACTTCAAGAGGAAATCATCTCAGTCCTTTGGGAATACGCAGATATTTTCGCTTGGAGTGTGGCGGACATGCCGGGCATAGACCATTCTGTCATATGCCATCGTTTGGCTTGATGGAAGGGAGCCGGCCTGTGAAACAGAAGAAGAGGCACTTGGCGAACGTCCGGAGGGACTTTGTGAAGAAAGAAGTGAAGGATTTGCTGGCGGTCGGGAACATAAGAGAAGTACAATACCCGGCCTGGTTGGCAAACGTCGTCCTGGCACCAAAAGGCGACAGTTGGCGCATATGCGTGGACTACACGGATCTGAACAAGGCATGCCACATGGATTCATACCCGCTGCCCAGTCCCGATCAGATGGTCGATGAGACGGCCGGGTGTGAGTTGCTAAGCTTCATGGATGCCTTCAAAGGCTATCATCAGATCTTCATGGCCGAGGGAGATGAGGAGAAAACCTCTTTCTTAACTCCTGAAGGTACTTATTGCTACCGGGTGATGGCCTTTGGACTGAAGAACTCGGGCGCCACTTATCAGAGGATGGTAAACCGACTTTTTAAGCCACTCCTCGGTAAGTCCATGGAGGCCTACGTAGATGACATGCTTATCAAGAGCCCGGGTGCGGCAAACCATCCGGCAGATATGAGGCTATGGCTAAGTACAACTTGCGTCTCAACCCCAAGAAATGCGTCTTTGCTGTAAAGACCGGTAAGTTTCTGGGGTTCATGGTGACCAAGCGAGGTATTAAGCCTAATCCTGAGAAGATTAAAGCCATAACTGAGATGAGGTCGCCCAGTTCGCTGAAGGACGTGCAACGACTCACCGGGCGGTTGGCAGCTTTGAGCCGTTTTCTCTCCCGGTCCGCTGAGAGGGCTCTGCCTTTCTTCAAAGTTCTGAAGAAGGCCAACACATTCGAGTGGGACCGGGAGTGCGAGGAAGCTTTCCAGCAGCTGAAAGAGTACTTAGTTTCTGATATAGTTCTGTCCAAACCCAAACTGGGTGAGACTTTGTACTTGTATCTAGGAATTTCCCAAAACGCTGTAAGCTCTGTCTTAATAAGAAATGAAGACGGCCAGAGGCCTGTTTACTATGTGAGCAAAGCACTTAATGGGGCAGAAAGCCGGTACACTGCCATTGAGAAAACAGCATACGCACTTTTCATTACGACCAAAAAACTGACCGCGTACTTCCAAGCTCACACTATGGAAGTACTAACCGATGAGCCACTTGGGCCGGTCCTACGAAATTCAACCTCCTCAGGGCGATTGATCAAGTGGGAGATGATGCTCACTCAGTTCAAAATAGAGTATAAACTGAGGACCGCAATCAAGGGTCAAGCTTTGGCAGACTTCCTCGTCGAACTGACCGGTCTAGAGCCCGAAGCCGGGCCTTCTCATACGGTCAAACCGTGGTGGGACATGGCCGTTGATGGGGCCTCTGGACCGAAGGGATGCGGAGCCGGCATAGTCTTCACTACTCGAGAAGGGTTCAAAATCTACCATGCCTTGGTTTTCAACTTCAAGCTTACCAACAATGAGGCGGAGTATGAGGCACTGGCCGGTGGCCTTAGACTAGCCCAGGCACTCGGAATAAAGAGAATGAGAATTCGTTCCGACTCAAGTCTTGTAGTTGGACAGATCAATGGCGAGATGGAGGTCAAAGAGGAGCGTCTGGCCCGGTACGGTGACCTGGTCTGAGCACTTCTGAGGGAATTGGAAGAGTTTCGTGTGACTAGGATACCCCGGTCGGAGAACACAGACGCTGATATGCTTTCGAAGTTAATGCAATCCTGCTCGGAGCATGTGTCGAAGTTGGCTAAAATTGAGATTTTAGATCAACCAAGTACTGATCGATTTTAGGTCGCGGGCGTTCAGCAAAGTCAGGGCTCAACTACCGGGGTGATTGAAGCGGATGATGACTGGAGATACGATCTCATGGAGTATTTAATGACCGGCCAAAAACCAAACGACGAAGAACGAGCCAGGAAGGTTGTCTTACGATCTCCCCGGTTTCAGGTACTGGACGGCCACTTGTACAAACGTGCCATTGGTGGACCTCTCCTACGTTGCCTTACCAACCCGGAAGCTGAACGGGTAATAGCTAAGGTGCATTAGGGAGTTTGTGCAGCCCATCAAATGTCTCGCACTTTGGCTCAAAGGATAATATTGCTTGGCTACTACTGGCCGACCATTGTTGGGGATTGTGAGCGGTATGTCCAGAGATGTAGGACGTGCCAGGTTTTTTACAAACATCCCGGCAGACCGGCCACATACTACCAACCAACGTCTAATGTCATACCATTTGCCCGGTTTGGGATTGACATTATTGGAGCCTTCTCGGTCGCCCAAGGCGGAAAGAAGTTCGTGATGGTGGCTATTGATTACTTCACTAAATGGATCGAGGCTGAGGCGATGGCTACCATAACCGTGTGGCAGTGTGAGAAATTTGTTTGGAAAAACATTATCACCCGGTTTGGTGCCCTGAAGATGATTGTTACCGACAACGGTCCGCAGTTTCGCAACCCCCGGTTTACTGAGTTCTTGGCTAGTTTTGGAATCAAGCACAGCAAGGCCTCAGTAGCTTATCCACAGGGAAATGGCCAAGTTGAAAATGCTAACCGGACGATAGTGGACGGCCTAAAGAAGAGGTTGGGTGAAGAAGGCCATAAATGGTTGGAAGCTTTGCCTCACACAGTCTGGGCGCATAGAGTGACTTCAAGTAGGGCAACCGGAGAAACTCCATTTGTGCTCACTTACGGATGTGAAGCCCGGTTGCCAGTTGAGGCGGAAATTCCAACATTTAGAGAGGCCGTATATCAGCCCGGTCAGAACGAGGTCGACCATCTAGCTGAATTAAATCTGGTGGAAGAACGAAGGACCCTAGCAGCTGTCAAGATGGCCGGTAACCAGCGGTCGGTAAAGAGATATCACGACAACCGGGTGGGCCCACGGTACTTCCAAGTGCATGATGAGGTCTTGCGCAGACGGGTGCTAGTAAACCAAATGAGAGAGGCAAGTTGGTGCGAAACTGGGAAGGACCCTATCGCATAAAGGCGATCATCCGGCCGGGCACTTACCAACTGGAGACTATGGAAGGTGGCCGGGTTGACCGACATTGGAACTCTCATCACTTACGAAAATTCTTTAGATAAAGTGTGATGAGTTCCCTAGACGTTAATAAAATTTTGTTCTTTTCAGAAAGATTATTCTCGTACATCAACCGGTAATTGGTCAACACACCGATTTACCCGATTAAATGTCCAATCGAATTGGGCATATCAAAAAAAAGAGAGAGAGACCGGTCTGACCGATCATACACCTCATCCGTACTAACACGGAAGTTAAAACGATTTGGCTTGACTAAAGGGAGAGCATCCTGGCCAGTTTAAGTCAGACGTTCTGAAGAAAAACTCGAGGTTTACCTTTCCACAAGGGCTTTAAGTCGTTGTGAAAAGGTGCCGGCCTTACAAGCGCCCGGGCAAATACTCATCCTTTCGAAAAGGACAAGTCGATACGCCATCGCGGGTTATTAACCGACCGGAAGAAAATTAATGAAACTCAAACTCTTCCCGGTTGACCACCCAGCCTTTCGAAAAGCCTTGGGTAAAATTGTATTTTAAACCGGGTAAATGCGGCCGGGCTGTTATTTACTAATCTAAACGGTTAAAAATCTAGAGTTGAAGAGAATATAAAAGAAAAACACTTGCATTAATATTTAAGCATCTTACAAAAGTGCCCGGAGGCAGATCATTACACATGGGAAGTAAAAAAAAAGAGAAGAAAAGGCTGGGAAATCAGATGCCCGGGAAAGGCGCGACCGGTGCCTCATCATGCAGCTCGGGCAGAGAAAGAGCCTTGGGCTGAAAACCTTGAATCCGCTGCTCAAGGATACCATATAGAGCCCGCTGTTCATCGTACTGACCACTTGTTGAAACCGTAGGTTCCGATCTCGTCGATGATCCCGGCCGAGACTTCGTGCTTGTATAAACCATGGAAGAAGCGGATGGCAGTCTCCCGTTCAGGAAGCGCTTGGGCAGCAAACTCCTCAGGCGCTTGAACAGCCCAGGCGGCAGCAAGAGGAGCCCTTTCCGAGCGCTCTTTCTCCAGCTCATCTCCGAGCCGGGCAATTTCCTCAGCCGACCGGGCGTTCTCGGCCTCAAGCTGTTGGATCTTGGCGTGAGCTTGCTCATCGGCCTCTTTCGCGGCCTTGAGGAGATCGTCATGCTTCACATACAGCTGGCGGTAGACCGCACAATGGTCCATCAACTTCTCCTCCGCCTTTGCCGCCTTCTCAAAAGCGGCCTTAGCCTCCTTCCGGCATTCGACCATCATGGCCTCCATCCGGGCCTTTTCCTCGTCCCTTGACTTCACCCGCCTGGTGAAGTACTCCTCACCAATCCGATCGACCTACTTTAAAGACATGAAAAGCTCTTCAGGAAGGTATCAGAAGCAATAAGAGGGCGGTAAGAAGGGAGAAAGGGGGATTACCTCAGTCAGGTCGGCGCGGAAGGCTTGGAGGAGCTCTTCGTTCGATCTGGACATTAGAGCCATAGACCAGGGCTGGCTTTGCCTTTTGCCGGCATCGGAGGACTGGGCCGCTTGATGAGCTGGCTGGTCGACTACTTCAGTGTTCCGCCTCTTCCTTTTAAGGGACTCTTCAGCAGCCTCCTCTTCGTCGTGGCCTCCCTCGGCCAGCTGGTTTGCTTGACCAGCCTCCATCAGCTGGTCGAACTCCAGGGTATCTACATTGATGTAGAGTTCTCCGGAGTGGATGGGCTGGCTGGTCCCCTGTTGAGACTGGACCGGCTGCTCGTCCAAAGTGACTGGTTGGACTGAAGGTTGGCTGAGAAGCTGGGCGGTGGAGGGCTCCTTAACGACGATTTTTGGGGTGGCAAATTTCGACTGGAACTTCACCACTGCAAGAAAAGAAACCGGTTAGAAAAACAGAGTTGAGAATAAATAAATGTAAAGGAAAGTAGGGAGGGGCAGTTGGTTGACCTTTCTCCTTCTTCTTCTTCCCCGGGCATGAAGGACCGGCGGTGGCAGTGGCCTGGGCTTTGGGTCCCCTCGCCTGGCGGATGGGGATAGCTTCGGGGATCGCCTCGGGCAGGACAATCTCCGGCTCAGGGTCAGTCTCTCGGCCGGGGTAAACGCTCCACTTCCCGACGTGGTAAAGACCGCGGGTGGAGGCATCCCCGGCCTGGAGGGTGTTTTCCCGGGCAACCAGGTCATCGGCCTCCGTTGGTTTGACCTGGCGCTTTATTCTTTTCCCCAGACATTTTTGGTAAAAGGAAAGGCAGCCGGAGGGAATTTGATACAGACGTATTTGTCCTTCCACTTCTTGTTGGAAGGAGGAAGGCCACAGAGAAATGCCCGGCCTTGGTGAGAAGACACCACCACAAATCCAAGGGTTTACTTGGACCCGGGCCGGAAATCGAACATATGGTCGAAGAGACGAAGGGAGAGAGGAATACGAAGGAACCGGCAGACATTGATGAAGCTGCCCAACAAACGGTGACCATTAGGGGCCAGCTGCCCGGGCATGATACCGTATGTCTCGAGGAAAAGGACTTTGAATGGGTGAATAGAGAATTCGCCTAGGTCCTTGATAGAGTGGTAATGGATATCAATCGACGTACCGACGTGGAGAGGAATAATGCTCTTCCACGTTGCCCGGTAAGTTAATTGGTACCCGTCCGGCATCAGGTTGCGCACCTCGTGGACTTGGGCCTTCTGCATGACCAACGATTGCGTTTGGAGCAACCGGTCGTCCAGCAGAATAAAACCCTCATCCTCGGGTTGGGCAACCAAGACCACTTGCGCCACGGAAGAAGAAGGAGCACAAGTGGAAGCATCAACCGGCTTCTTCTGTGGAGAAGTAGCCAGGTGCTCAGAATCAGAGGATGAAGAAGAAGAGGAACCGGAAGTCTGAGCCCGGTCACCAGAACCGTAAGAATGGGTGGAAGGGTTCTGGCTGTCTTCGTGGTCAGACATCACTCAAAGAAGTGGAAAGAAAGAGACTTACTTGGAATAAGAGGACTCGGAGGACTCGGAGGACTCGGAAATAGTAGAAGCAGCCGGACAGTTTTTTAAATCGAAGATTTGCAAGTGAGGAAATCCTAGGGAGAACCTCGCTTTATATAGGAAAGAGGCTGCCCAGACGGACGAACGAAAGAATGACACGTGGCAGCTGAAATGATTTGCCATCATAACCTCTCGGGGAGACGAAACGGCACAATAAATCGGCGGCTCCGTACCCGACTTCGAGATGATTCTCCCGCTTTGGACACTCGGTTTTTGAAATTGCAAAATTCAAAATTCAAATTTCAAATATTTTGGGTTGGCGCTGGTTTTCCGAGACGATTTTCCCGCCAAAAAGAGACTGGGTAGTTCAAATTCCAAGAGATGATCGCATGTGCTTCCCGCCCCTGATGGTCCCCACAAGACCGGGAATCGGAGGACTCCTTGATGGGTAATAATCCATGGATACCACCCGGTTGGTTCACCCGACTGGGTGGTGATGGAAGTGACAGCACGCGCCTTTCTCCGCCCGGGTTATTTGACCGGTTGGATGGGAAGACCGGACGCCAATCCCCGAAGATCTATTTTCAAAGTACACCTGGTTGGCCGATCAGCCGCCTGACCGGTGTGATAATCAGAGACGTGCTTGACGTGCTTAGGATTATTATAAATACCCCTAAAAGCCTCATTTGTGAGGCATGCTTTAATTAACCTGCACGGCTTGTATTTGTAATAACTCCTATTATCATTAATAACAAATCAGGTTACAGGTGTTTCCACCTACAACCCTTCCGATTACTTATACTTAGGGGTGATCACGGTACGGTTCCGGGACGGTTCCGGTACCGCCGGTTCCGGTACCGCCACCCCATGTAACCGGAACTGGCACCGTGCCGGCCGGTACCGGACCAGCCGTGTTCGGCCCCCCCCTATTTTTTTTTGCTTTTTTTTAAATTTTTAAAGTATAAAATTGTAAATTTGCAATTGTTTAAGGAAAGAATGAAATAAAAAATCTAAAAATGTAGTTGTTATTTAAATATTGAAAATGAGTAATACACTAACTGAAGAACAACCACATTTAATATCCTGGCGGTTCAAAAATAGCGACGAGGTAAAGAACCGTAAAGAAACCCTCGAAGGAGCTTATATATCGCTCACCTAAAAAAACTAATTACATATTTACATTAACATAAAAATAATTTATAACTTATTCTTCAGAACTCGGACTTCCATCTGTGGTTGCATTCATGTAATGCTCCGATTCGAGTTGGTACGATGACTCTTGAGCCCGACGTCTTGCCAAGAGCCAATCTTGGTTGCAAACCAGTGTTTCAAGAGATTCAGCGTTAAGACAACTTCGATAGTCGGTTAGAATGTTGCCGCCAGCACTGAATTCTCGTTCAACTGCTACGGTTGATACCGGGACGGACAACACTTGTCTTGCTAGCATGCCGAGACATGGGAACATGTGTTCGTTCCGCTTCCACCATCCGAGCACGTCAAAATCGACGTCGTCGTCGTAATCGCATGGCACACCCTGGTACATAGCAAGTTCGTTGTGCGAGCTTACTGTTGTACCACTTGAACTCGTCGAAGACTGGGCACGCTTCCCTTTCTTTGCAAGAAGGCCACCGACTATTTCGGCAAAACCTTTTTTTGATTTCGGGGGCGGAGGTGGTGTTGTTTCTTCTTGTACAGTACCGTATAACCCTTGATATTCCTTAAACAAATCCTCAAAAAGAGTTATAGCATTATCTCTTTCATTTTTCCATTCTACTAAATAGCTGTAGTAATAACTATTTTTATCTAAAAAACAACTGTAGTAATACTCAATTAGAATTTTAAAATTTTCAATCTTAAATCGTGGATCACAAATAATACCTATTTTATAAATATCAGGAATGTACAAATANCCCACTGACATTTTTTTTGCAGGTTTGTGCAGTGCAGGTTTCCGTTGGAGACTTGGAGAGCAAAAGAGGAGAAAGAAAGGAAAAAAAAATTACCGGTACCGGAACCGGTAACGAATTTGGGGCACCGGAACCGAGACCGGATGTGGCGGTACCGGTGCCGGTTCTCGGAACCGTTTCGCCGTCCCGGTAGCCGTTACGGTGCTCGGTACCGGCGGTACCGTTTCCGGTGACGGTACCGCACCGGTACCGTGTCCAGCCCTACTTATACTTAGTATTTGAGTGGTAATTTACACCATCAGGAGTCAATCCCTACACACACACACACAGAAGAGTCCATGCATTTGCAGTATCCTTAACTTTTTCCTACTGCATAATTAGGTAAATTTTGTGGGGGAAAATTGTAACACCCCAAAAATTAGTCTAAGAGTTTTAGATAAATAAAATAACTAATTAATGATCAAATCATATTAGACTCAAAATTATAGTAAATTTAATAATGATGTCAACTAATTCAAATTGACATATTAATCTCAAAAATGTCAACCAAAATTTTATTGGAATACAAATTGAAGTAAAACAAAATTCATTGAGATAAATAATGTAATTATGTAGTACATAGTTAAGATTTATCCTAGAATATCTATGTGGCATACGGAGGTGCCGATTAGTGGCTTGCACGCCACTAATCAGTTAGTGAAACAAAACTTAGCATACCTTCTTATGACTCATCATTGTGCATGCTTACTTTATTAGAAATAAGGAACCTAAATAAGACTCTAAATAGGGCTATTATATGGATGATGGAAAATATTGACCATTAGATAAAAAATAAAAGTAGAAACCAAGTAGTTAAGATACTAAGTAAAGGGAGGTGCCGAAACCAATAAGCTAGCTAGGATTGCAGGACATGTCAACTCGCCAAAAAGAAATTCACCATTCTTCCACAACCTCTCACTTTAGACGTGAAGGTGCCGCCGCCCGTGTAACAATCGTTACATAATATAATACGTTAATATACGCTATATTTTTTGTATATTCTATTAATTTAACTTTTGTCACCAATATTGGGAAACGCCGTTGGCTTTTATTTTAAACATGCTTTACGTCCAAATTGTCTAAAATTTTCCCTAAATAGATTCTATGATGTCATTTTAAGGATATGCGAATAAAAAAAATGAGTTTTTGAAACAAATCTTCGAACACCCCGATTAAGAAATGCCCGAAAAATGGGTCTCGAAGATGGCACTCAATTTTTATAAATACTTAAATCCAAATCATCCAAAAACCAATTTTAATACGTTTTTAACAAGTCTTTAGAAAATAAATATGAAGAGTTGAAGCAAATAAAAAAGTGAAATTTGCACTAAATAGGACTAAAACATAATGACTTTTCTAATGTAGGACTTAAACTTTTTTATTCCCTAAATAGGACTTAATAATAACCTAGTGGAAAGAATAATGTCCTGTAATCATGAACATTTAGTTGAATAATGATTACTTGATAATGACCAAAGGTCCTAGATTGGGAAATAAAAACATATGCTCCTATATTGGGAAAGTCATTGTGTTTACTCCTATTTAGATAAATTTCTCAATAAAAAAAGAAAGGAACTTGCTGAAGCTTGGGTTGACTTCGATGGCGCCGTTGTCAGAGACTTCTCCTGGACTAAAATAAACTTGTAGTTTTCCTTCCTTGTGTTTTTGAAACTGAGTATTGGATATTAAGCATGGTTTTTAATTGTTAGCATATTAGCTGATTTGTTATGGTGACGTGGCAAACTTATCTTATCTTCTATCCTTTCTTAGCCCATGTATATATACTTGTACTTCTTCTTTTCCAGCTGTAATTTTTCAGAGAATACATTCAATAAAATTCTGTTACGTTTCTCTTCTTCTCCTTCGTAATTTCATCATGAAATTCAACATGGTATCGGAGCTTTGAATCTTCTTATTCTTCTTGATTTGATTCTCTTCTCTGGATTTGGTTTCTTCTGCTGTGTTTCAATGGCGGAAAACATAACAGCAACAAGAATAGATCCTGCAGATCCTCTGTATCTACATCCATCAGATCATCCAGGTTTAATCCTGATTTCGAAGAAGTTTGAAGGTGAAGGTTTTGGATCTTGGCAGAAATCCATGAAGATAGCTTTATCGGCCAAGAATAAACTTGATTTTGTCTATGGGAAGGTTCAGAAGCCAAACGATTCTCCTTTCCGAGCCAGTATTTGGCAGAGATGTAACGACATGGTTACATCCTGGATTCTTAACGTTCTAAGCAAAGAAATTGGAGATAGTGTTTTGTACGCTGATAATGTGACAGATCTCTGGAATGAGCTGGATGACAGATTTGGACAATCGAATGGGGCTCGATTATACCAATTGCAAAGGGATATCTGTTCAATTTCACAAGGAAATTCAGATATTGCCACATATTACACCAAGCTGAAAGGAATTTGGGACGAATTGGCACTGGTTTGCAGCCTTCCCAGGTGCAATTGTGGAGCTGTTCAAGCACTTTTGAAACATGAACAAGATCAGAAACTGGTCCAGTTCCTTATGGGACTTAACTCAGACTATAATGTTACCAGGGGAAATATCCTTATGATGAGACCTTTGCCTTCAGTTTCTGCAGCTTATGGAATGCTCATACAAGAGGAAAAACAAAGAGGAATTCAAAGTACACCTCACATTGTTCCTGATCATGCTTCTCTTAATGCAAACACTCAATCATCTTATAGAGGAAGATATGAAGATAAAAGGATCATTAGCTGTGATTATTGCAAGAAGAAGGGACACACTGC